TTAATTAATCGCACACCGACAAAACTCTTGGGTGGGAAATCTCCTCTTGAAGTACTCTCGTCCAAACCACAAGATTTGAGTCATCTCCGGGTTTTTGGTTGTCTCTGTTTTGTCCGTCAAACACCTAAACCCCTAAACAAATTTTCTCCCCGTAGCGTGAAATGCATGTTTATTGGGTATCCCTATGGCACAAAAGGGTGGCGGGTGTATAACTTGGACACTCACCAATTTTTTCACGCTAGGGATGTCGTGTTTGACGAATCACAATTCCCATTCTCTGTTCCAAACACCACCAATTCCGTCCAACCCGTCTTAAACCCCGCCGACGTCGACTTTCCTGTCGTCTCTCCGCCGGCAGCCTCCATCGGTGACACTACCACCGAGCAGCCCGTCATCTCTCTGCCGTCTCCCGTACCAGTCCCGTCAACCGAACAGCCCCCTCTTCCCGTCACTATCCAGTCGACGGGCGAGTCTCCCTCGTCCGTCCCGTCTCCTTCTCCTTTACCTCCTCGCACACGTCGCCTCCCCACCCACCTCAATGACTATGTCCTCCATTCTGTGTCTACCGTCACTCCGTCTTCCTCTTCACCTAGCTCAATCTCGTCTGGTACCCGGTTCCCGATTACTAACTATGTTCATTATGATAAGTTGCATAACAGGTACAAGGGCTTTGTTGGTGCTATAGATGCTTCCCCGGTTCCCACTTCTTATAGAGAAGCCGTCAGGTTTGCTTCTTGGAGGGACGCTATGGAACAGGAATTCAATGCATTTGAGCGTAATCATACCTGGGAGATTACTGATTTACCTCCTAATCGGCGGGCCCTTGGCTGTCAGTGGGTATATCGTACTAAATATCGGTCTGACGGTACTAAGGAGCGGGATAAAGCACGACTGGTTGTCTTGGGAAATCATCAGGAGGTGGGGGTCGACTTCACTGATACATTTGCCCCCGTAGCCAAGTTGGCTACCGTTCGGGTGTTGTTGTCTGTCGCAGTTGCACGCGGATGGCAGGTTGACCAGTTAGATGTCAACAATGCCTTTTTACACGGGGATCTTAAGGATGAGATTTATATGAGGCTCCCACCTGGATACTCTCATTTGTTCCCTGGGAAAGTATGTCGTTTGCGAAAGTCTTTATATGGGCTCCGTCAGTCTCCCCGTAATTGGTTTGCCAAGCTTCGTCTAGCTTTGCGTCAGTATGGTTTTCGCCAGGCTCATGCAGATCATACTCTTTTTGTTCTCTATCGTGGTCCTGATATACTTGTTGTTCTTGTTTATGTGGATGACATTCTTGTTGCAGGCAATAATCCCTCTTTGTGCACTTCTTTTAAGAAGTACTTGGATGCTTGTTTTCAGCTCAAAGATCTCGGACCGGTCTCTTATTTTCTGGGTATAGAGTGTGCTCGATCTTCCACTGGTATGGTGCTTAATCAGCGAAAATACACCTTGGACATTCTTCAAGAGCACAACCTCTCCGGATGCAAGCCTGCCGACACCCCACTGCCCAGCAACCATAATCTAGCCCGTTCTACTAGTGCTGAGCTTCGGGATGCTGCCAAGTATCGTCGTCTTGTTGGCCGTTTATTGTATTTGACTATCACTCGGCCGGATATCTGTTATGCTGTTCATGCCTTGTCTCAGTTTATGCAGGCTCCACGTTTAGATCATTGGACCGCGGCTCTTCGTGTTCTCCGGTATCTTAAAGGGCATCCAGGACAGGGTATCCTCCTTCGTCGAGATAGTGACCTGACTTTGACGGCCTATTCAGATTCCGATTGGGCGAGTTGCCCGCTCACTCGTCGCTCTGTCACCGGTTATTTTGTCCTTCTTGGTGGGTCCCCTATCTCTTAGCGCACTAAGAAGCAAACTACAGTGTCCCGTTCGTCTGCAGAGGCGGAGTACCGCGCCATGGCTAACGCCTGCGCTGAAATCAGGTGGCTCCGTGGTCTTTTGGCCGCTTTACAGGTCCCTTGTGTTGCTACTCCGCGTTTGTATTGTGATAATAAGTCTGCTCTCTTCATTGCGGCTAATCCGGTCTTTCATGAGCGT